AAGTCATAAATTATTTAAAAATATTTTTAATAATAAAAGGAAAAAAATTTCTTGAGGATCTGATCAATCTTTGCGGAGTGTCAAAAGAAAACGATGAAATCTGTTTCAGTAAAAATGGATTTCCTCAAAGAAAATTGATCGGTATCATCTTGAAGCAATTACGGTTTTAAAGCAAAAAACGGACGAACAAAAAGTGCCTCTTGAAACTTTGTGATCACATCTATAACGAGCAAGACGTATCGTATCGGCTTTGATCATCAATCGCAAAGCTTCCTGTTTCATTTTGATTCGATTTTATTTCGCCCGCATACTTCTGTGTGATACCTCCACTAGTCCACCTCTCTCCAAGTTGAATTTTCTGCCTCATCGGTAGGAAATGGAAAAAAAACTAAGGAAAATGGTTTGATCGTTAAAGCACAGCTTCAAAGTATTAAATGTACTTGTTATTGCCTGCTTTTAAAGTCTAAATTCATTCATTTCAATCTGATAATTTCATTATAGGATTTTTTAAAGTGGAATTCTTTTTTTTTTTTTTTTGTAGGGATTTTTATCCGCTTTACTAAACCAGCAACAAGGGTATGGAAAAAAAGTATGTTAATTTTTTGTACAACTAACTTCATCGAAGACTAATTCGAATGGTAGCGGGGGCACAGAGCTATGGATGAGACTCACCGGGGGTTAGGTCTACTGTCCGGACAGTCAGGAAACTTTTCACTTAGTCTGCCATGTCGCAGACTCTTGCTACTGGCGTGGAACCACTACTACTTAAGCCCTGTGATGTTAACGACCTAAATTACTTTACCCCAACCTTGCTCTGGCATTATCACGTTATTGTTAAAGCTACGGCGTCGATTACTTAGTTAAAAGAATTTCTCCCGCCGAGTGGAACAAAAATAGAACTTGACAACTTCACTTTTAGCAAAAGCATCCCACTGTACTTCATTCAGCCTCAACTTTTATCAAATGCAACACATCAAAACTCTGACATTTTATGCATTAGACTCTGTTCCTCATTCAATTCTTTTAATTCTATCAGGACTATAGGATTTAATTCAATTTTCACAAGTTTTTTTTTTTTTGAACTTTTCAGCAAATCTTTTAATGGGGTCAGACGTGGAAAACCTGGAATTCTCATGGAATTTTTTTTTATTTATAGAAAACCTGTAATTATCAACGAATTTTAATTTTTATTCTGAAAATTCAATATTTCTTGTATTTGAATATTCAAAATCATATGTTTTCAAGTTGACATTGTACAAAATCTTTTTGATGTTAAATTCAGTGCTTACACTTGAAATCTAAATTATTTCTAAATTTTAGTATCTTCTAGTCAATATTTTCGACTTCTAATTTTCGAAAATAATTTTCAAATTCAATTTAAAAGTTTACCCAAAATGGTATTAAAATGTTCAAAATACGCAGTTTTGTGAAAAATTCTAAACAAAACTAAATTTTTAAATTCTTATAATTTTTCTCTTTTATTTTTTCTACTTTAAAATCAGGGTGGTCATAATTTTCGCAGTTTATCAATTTCCCTATGACATTTTCTTGAAAATTTACAGATATTAAAATTATTTTTCCTGATAAAATTCTTTTTACCAGGAAAATGTGAAATTTTACGAATAATGAGTAAACTTTTTAAATTTTAATAATTTCTAAAAATTATAATCATAACCCTTTGCGAATTCAATTATTTTCTACAATTTTTATCAAAACTCCACCACTCAATCGAAAAATTTTGATAAAACAATTCTAAGAATTACTTTTTAAAAATATTTTTATTGTAATTTTTTGAAAATATAATTGAATTTTTTTAAAGAATTTTTGTATAATTTAAAAAAATTAATGAAAATTATTTAATTATAAAATATTATTTTTTGGATTTATTTGAATTTTCGGAAATATGTAATTGAAAATATTAAATTTTAAAAAATTAGAAGCTAATTTTTCATTAATTTTCATTTTAAAATTTTACATTTTAAGATTTTTCATTAACATTTTTGATAATTCAATTATTTTCGCATTTGCAATTACCGTTTTATTATTTCTGAAAATAATTAAATTATTGGGAAGAATTTTTTAAAAAGTTTCAAGCAATTCATTTTTTTCGAAAAATTTTTTGCAATTATTCTATTTTAAATAATTGAATTCCTGTGAAATTTTTTTTTTTTGGGAAATAGTTAAATGTTCGTGTTGAATTTTATTAAAATTTTTGTTTAATAATTAAATTCTTTTGGGAAATTTTATTAAAATAGTAGAATATTAAAAATTATTTAATTAGGACAAAATTCTTGAAAATAATTGAATTTTGCAATGAATTTTAATAAAGTTCTTAAAAATAATTGAATGTTGCAATGAATTTTATTAAAATGTTTCAAAATAATTGAATTTTGCAATGAATTTTATTAAAATTCTTAAAAATAATTGAATTTTGCAATGAATTTCATTAAAATTCTTGAAAATAATTGAATTTTGAAATTAATTTTATTAAAATACTTGAAAATAATTGAATTTTATTGCAATTCTTGAAAATAATTGAATTTTGGAACGAATTTTATTAAAATACTTGAAAATAATTGAATTTTGCAATGAATTTTATTAAAACTCTTAAAAATAATTGAATTTTGCAATGAATTTTATTAAAATTATTGAAAATAATTGAATTTTCAAATGAATTTTATTAAAATACTTGAAAATAATTGAATTTTATTAAAATTCTTAAAAATAATTGAATTTTGCAATGAATTTTATTACAATTTTTTAAAATAATTGAATTTTTCAATGAATTTTATTAAAAATACTTGAAAATAATTGAATTTTGTCTAAGAATTTTATGAATTTTGCAATGAATTTTATTAAAATTCTTGAAAATAATTGAATTTTGAAATAAATTTCATTAAAATTCTTCAAAATAATTGAAATTTGCAATGAATTATATTAAAATTCTTGAAAATAATTGAATTTTTAAATGAATTTTATTAAAATTCTTAAAAATAATTGAATTTTGCAATGAATTTTATTTAAATTCTTGAAAATAATTTAATTTTACAATGAATTTTAATAAAATTCTTGAAAATAATTGAATTTTGCAATGAATTTTATTAAAATTCTTGAAAATAATTGAATTTTGCAATGAATTTTATTAAAATTCTTGAAAGTAATTTAATTTTGTCGAAGAATCTTGATATTCTTTGTAAAAATTAATAAAGATAATTGAAATGTTGACGATAATTTTTTTTTTTAGATTTTTTGAAAATAATTGAATTCCTGTGATATAAATATTCCTATTTATAAAAATAATTGAATTTTGTAATGTATTTTATAAAAATTCCTGAACATAATTGAATTTCTGCGAAGAATTTTTTCTATTTATAAAGATATTTGAAATGTTGACAAGAATCTTTTTTGAAATTTTTGAAAATAATTGAATTTTCTAGAAAGAATTTTATTATTTACTATGAAGATATAGTTGAATTTTTTTAAAGAATTGCGTTAAAAACAACAAATAATGTTGTTCGCTTGAAATTGGAAAAGGTTCCCCAACGCTTTTCCCGAAATTCTTTTTCCCGACACATACTTTTCACGAATTCAATTTCCTGACACCTTTTTTTCCCGAATCGAGTTTCTCGACAAGTATTTTTCCCGACAAAAATAGTTATTATCGTATCAAGGGCGCAAAACAGGTGATTGCGACGATGGCGAGATGAAGGGACCGAGGGGACATTTTCGCGCCCGAGGCGAAGCCGAGGGTGCGAAAGTGTCCCCGAGGTCCCGAATTCTCGCCAAAGTCGTAATCACCTTTGCGCCCATGTTGCGAACATAATTTTTTGTCCTAACTGCATGAAAAGTATGGCATTGAGGGCACGAGCGAAGCGGGCGCAAAAGTACAGCAAGCGGGCGTAAAAGTACTTTTGCGCCCGCTTGTGTGACGTCAGCGGGCGTAAAAGAACTTTTGCGCCCGCTACCCCGACCCCGGGCGAGAATCAGTTACTTTGCGCCCACCTTAAGTGCCCGAAATGACATACTTTTCGTGCAGGTAGGACAAAAAAATTTTTTTGTTGCTATGGAAAAAGTCAAACAAAAATAGATCGTCATTGTTTGCTCTTATATTTATTTAACAGAAATTTACTTACCTCGAAGTAGCATTAGGGCGCGAATGTTTATTTGTCAGAAAGATTATTTAACATAATTTTCGTTTTGCCGAAACTTTATTTCACCTAATTTTAAATTTTTATATTATTATTTGTTTAACATAAATCTATTTCTACCTTATTTTTATGTGACATATTGTTCTTTTATTTGAATCGTCGTTTTACAGAATTACCAAAAATCAGAATTCATGCGTCTTGTTTATTTAAAATTAAGAGACCGAAATAGTAAAACATACTGGGACTGCAATCGTTTGCTGGAGATCAGTCACTGCGATGAATGATGATGAAGTCATTGTGCTTAGGGGTCCCAACGAATCATCAAAGGATGATAAGGATTATGGAATTTTAATATACGATTCAAAAAGTGTAAAAGATTTTTGCGGTTTGTTTTAGGGAATTGTTTGCGCAGAAAGGAGAAAGACTAGACCAAAAAGGGAGCAATAAAAAATGTAAGTAATTAGCTCTTGAGAAATTCCAAACAGTGTTTTGGTCTAAAGGGATCTTCTTCGTAAATCTGAGGTTTTCGAGGCTGATGAGGGGTTTTCGGCATATACGAGCATCCAGAGTCGAAAGGGTGGTCGTTGGCCAGTTGAAATCGCGACTTATGGCGCCTGTTTCCGTTGTACTAATTTGGAGAGAGCTTGCTAACGAGCCTTTTGAGGTCGTAAGTTTAGCCGTTGCGGCCGCGGTCTGTGGAGTAGCCGCCCGCAAGCCCGGTCCGAGTGCCGATGTACCTTTTCTCATTCTATCCTCCTTATCCCTCTCCTTCCTCCATCGTTTTCCTCCACCTCCCTCATCCCTTCAACATATATATTCTTTAAGGACAAAAGTATACTGCGCGTTCAGTACAGTCACACACACAAACAACGGGTCGAGTCTGCGCGACTCCTTCGCTACTATATTCCGAGTGGGGATCCTGAAAACGTGCTCGACTCACGCTCTTTCGAAACTTAGTGCGCGCCACAAGCTCGCCGGATTCGAACGCAACTTAATTTTGAGCTTGATTCGCCGGAACCTCGTGTTCGGAAAAACACTTTTTCCAAAACAAAAATTAATTGTCCACCAAAAAAAAGGGTATTTTGGGAAAAGAAAAAAAGTGTGTTCAGCGAAGTCCAAGTGGAGAAGAAAGTCGACTTGGACTTTTTTTGGGGGGCTGGGGAAAAAAGTTTTCACATTCCAAATGAAGGAAAAGTTAACGATTCTCCAGTGAATGATAAATACATGAAGTACCCCGCGGGGAGATTGATCTCTTCCGCCTGGGAAACCGATAATCACCTCATTGAGTTATCTGATGGGAGTTGAATCTGGCTTTCGAATCTGAGAAACAAAACGATATCGATGGTTCGAAAAGAGACTAGACACCCACCTAATAATCCCTTATTCTCAAATTTTGCAATTAGGATTAGATAATTAAAATTTGCAGAAGAAATAGAAGTAATTCCGTTTCCCTTTATTGAGTGATTAAAAAAAACTCAAGAATGAATAGTTCCTAGAAGTTTCGAACAAGAAGAGGAGTGAAGGACTTTGAAAATGAGCGGGAGTTCAGTGCTACTGTGCATGTTTGCACTTCTTGTGATGATACAAGGTAAGATCAAAAAAAAATTTTTTCTTCGAAAGTGGGACTTAATTTCTGTACCCTCGTAATAACCGTTCTTGACAAACATGACAATTAGATTTAGATAATTACTAAATTAGCAGAGACATTACACAAGTTTGTCCGGATTATTTAAAGAATCAAAATGATTAAAAAAAAATGAAGAAAGAATATTTTTAGGTAGGTTCGAACAAGAAGAGTAGGAATTAATTAAAAGAAATACAGTATATTATCTACTTATGCATATTTATTATTTTCGTCCCCCCCCCTACGTTATAATGTAATATTTGAGTCGTAAATAAATTTATCGTCCATAAAAACATCCATTACAAGGAAAAGAAAAGCGCACTGAATATCATAAAAAACCATCAAAATCATCTTCTTAAGCTCTTGCGCATCGCAGGTCCATAAGTCAAGTGTCAGAAAATCAGAAGCGAAACATTCTAACGGTAATGTCTTTTTTATGCATCTTACACTGATACTTCTAACAAGAAATCCTTTGATGATAATAAAAAAGTAAGCGATAAAAAGAATCTCCAAACGACTGTTGTCTTGATAAATTCAAAACTGCCCCGAGTACGAGAAAGGGATTACATGCAAATTTTTTTTACAAAAACCTTTTGAATTTTTTTAGTTCTACAAGTTGGAGTTAAATGCAGGACTTAAAATTTAATCAATTGCGTTTTGATCCAAAAAGTAATAAAATCTTCTGGCCCAGGAGATTTCAACTTCTTACAACGTAAGAAGTTGCCTTCTTTATGAATTTGGATCGTAAAAATAGTAATACCCCGAGGCATTCGAAAACTGGACTCCGGGACCGTATATCTTGTTTGGCCCGAAAACTCTTCACTTTTCTTGTCAACAGAACTGTTTTCCTGGGTCATTCGATCCCAGGTTAAAATTAAAGTATAAAATATTGTAATCGCTCATAAATAATCTCTTCCATATGTAATAGTTCCCTCACGAATTTTAATTTTGTTCCAGTAATCCAAATTAATACATCTGGATCTGTTCTAGATCCATTGAATGAGGATTCAAATAAACAGACAATTATAACTTAAAATAATAGTTTCTTCCTTTCTTGAAAACCTGCCCCTTTCAGATCAGAGTTTTTGCTCTGTGAATAAATCAGTTATTGAATGTTCGCATAATTGGAATTGTCTGTTCACAGTCTGAAGAAAAATTAATTTGATCCCCTTACATTATTTTTAGGGTAATCAAGGTTTTTACGAGGGGCTGATCACTCAGAATCCAATTCAAGAAAAATTTGAAAATTTATTATTATTTGCATGGATTCACATGGAATCGTAGGGGACGAATTCTCTGAATCTTGGATTCACATGAAATTGCTTGGATTCGTAAAAGTCGAATCCTTATGATTTCTTAAATTTCGGGCGGATTCTCCACGGATTTCCTTGTATTCGTAAATAATCATTCCCTTACGAATCTTGTATTCGAGAGTGAACAGCCCCTCGCTCGGGTTTTTATGTTCTGGCAGTTGCGCTAAGCAAACATTCACACGCGTTTGTTGTAGCTAGTTGAAAATACTTTCTATTTGTAATAATCGAATTAAATTTTGGAAGAAAACTAAAAATTGCTCTAGGGTCCTCTACTTTCAGAAGTTTTTAAATAAATTCCAAAACTCAAAAAAATTGTTTCCAAAGAAAGCGGATTCAAAGCAAATTGTTTTTTACATCATCGTTTAATATTATTATTTAATGATAATAATATAAATAAATTAAGGTCGTATTATACATAACTAAAGCAGTAAAATAAACGATATGAAATGATTTGATGAAGGTCAGTTAAAATTTTGTTGGGGACCGCAAGAGTTTGCGATTTCAACGCAAACAATTTGGACAATATATCCACAGAGGGCAAAAGACCAGGACCTTTGTCACGATTCATTATTGCTCGTGAGTGCATAGCCCGTCAGTCATTTCGGTAAATTGTTATTCGCTGCAGTTCGAACCTTCAATCACGCTGATTGACGTTGTACTTTATACATACACAGTACCATTAAGCGGGGGAGTACGTGCACGCGTCATGTCATGAACGTTCACGTTTATCATTTTCCGCGTATTTTGCTATCTCGCTCGCCACGAAAACAGTCAAGCTTAATCAAAACAGGCAAACCGAACCCAACACACCCCCCCCCTCCTCCCCCCACCACGCGTTTAAAGTACTAATTGCGTCACGTTGTCCTCAACCATCAAGAAACCACTTATCAGATTTCGTAATGATAATAAATTTCACACTAACATTAAGGGGATACATTCAGCAAACATTGTTATATTATTACAAAATATTGTTGATATTTATAAAAATAATTGAGTTTTGCATGAATTTTATTTTTTATATATTTTTTTCCTAAACAAAAAGAAAGCCAAATAAATGACAAAAAAAAAGAATCTTTTTCTCCACTGTTGGATCTGAAAAAAGATTTCGATTTCTATTGTATTTGTGTATGTGTGTGTGTGTGTGTGTATCGAATCGAAGCGAGAGAAAAGAGGTTCAAGTTGTACATTTTGCGTTTATCGTTTACTTCCAATTTATGAGACGATTTATTTCCATTGTTCATTGAATTTTTATACGCCACTACGCGAAACCTTTTCGCAGCAGAAGTCCCATGAGCTTTAACAAGCAAACAGAAAAATGAAAAAGTAAATATTGCTTTGACGTGCACTTAGATGGATTTGACAGTCACATTTTTGCTATTTGCTTATTCTTAAATAAATAAACGTGTCAACAATAAAAAAAAAAAAAAGGTTGGAAATTTATTTATAAAAAAGAAATTATCGAACTATGAAAAAAAAATTTTTTTCTCTATTCTAAAACAAATGATTTTTTTCAAAAGAACTTCTTTTTGAAAAAAGTAAAAAATTTTCTATCAGAGGGGAAAGAATTTCTTTTTTCTTTTTTTTTGTAAAACAATTTTGTTGCAAAGAGGAAATTGTACAATCAATTTATCTGCTTTTGATGTGAGGCAAATTGTGGTTTGTATTCTATTAAGGAATTAGCGTACGATTATTGAACTGATTAGAAATAAATTATCATCCTCTGCGCTTCTGTTTTGCATTATAGGAACTCCGATATTAAACTTTAGTTATTCTATTTTAAAATTGTAATAAAAATACTGTTATCGAAATTTCCTCCTGGGAAGTTAATTATAAAATTTTCTTCACAATTTTAAATAAAAATTTTATTTTCCAATCTAAATCACATTATTTGAAGGTGATTTTTACAGATGTAGAATCGTCCTTTTTTATTGTATAAAAAGCAAACATTTTACTTGCACAACAGCATTATGTGGCCTAAAATCCGTGTACAAATATTTGCTCTGAATACACTGCATAGACATCATTTTTTTCCTCTTTTTTTTTTGTTGTGTTGTAGCTGACGGAAGAAACTCGGAATTTTTTTTTCTCCACGGAAGAAATTTAGAGCCGAACGGAAAGCCAAACGAGTTCAATGGTATCCGGAATGTAGTGAGTTTATTGTCGCCACTTCCGGTCTACAACAGGAACCGGAAGTGAATGGTACATTGGATATCGAAACAGGATTTTGAACAGTCAAGTAAAATTTGAATCTGAATCCTTTTTTGATAATAAAAAAAAAATTGTTTTCTCCCTATCATGTGTCATTTGTTTCTGAAATGTAGTGTTAATTGAATAACAATATAAAATTGAAAAAAGTATTTTTTTCTTTGGCCATGGTTACTAGCTGCGGTTAAAAGTCTGTAGCTTTTTCACTTCCCACTTTCCACTCACACTTTCCACTTTAACTTTACACTTCCCACTCTCACTTACCACTTCCACTCTAACTTCTCAATTTCTATCTTACTTTCAACCCTTACTTCCCACTTCCACTTTCAAAAATTTCACTTTACACTTCATACTCTCACTTCCCACTTCCACTCTCACTTTCACTTTACACTTTCCCTTCTCACTTCCCACTATCCGATTCCACTTTCACTCTCACTTTGACCTTCTACTTTCCACTTCCACTCTCACTATACACTTTTTACTTCCACTCTCACTTCCCACTCTCACTTTACACTTCATACTGTCACTTCCCACTTCCACTTTCCACTATTACTTCTTACTTTCCACATCCCACCTTACTTCCCACTTCCACTCTCACTTTTCACTTCCTACTTTCACTCTCACTACCTCTTTATACTCCTACCTCCTCTTTTCAATCTCACTTCCCACTTTGTATAGTTTGAGACAGGAAGGTGGAAAGTGAGAGTTAAAAGTCGAAGGGAGAGTGGAAATTGGAATTTAGAGTGAAAGTGAATAGTGAGAGTAGGAAGTGGAAAGTGAGAGAGGAAGCGGGAAGTGAGAGTGGAAGTGAAAAGTAAGAGTGAAAGTGGGAAGTTAGAGTGGAAGTGAATAGTGAGAGTAGGAAGTGTAAAGTGAGAGTGGAAAGGGGAAGTGGATAGTGGAAAGTGAGAGTGGAAGTGGAAAGTGAGAATAGGAAGTGAATGGGAGAGTGGAAAGGGGAAGTGGATAGTGGAAAGTGAGAGTGGGAAGTGCAAAGTGAGGGTGAAAATGGGAAGTGAGACTGGAAAATGGAGTGAAAATTGGGAAGTGGAAAGTGAGAGTAGAAAAGTTATAGAATCGACACCCAGCGCAGTTATCTAATTTCATCATCGAACTCGGGGATAAATCGATTATTGCAAAAGAAAAGGCAGACGCGGTGGAAGAAAATTTTCTGACACATCATACTTGACTATTTTCCTATTAAGTTAAAATGTAGTTCTCTGAAATGAGCAAAAACCAATTGTTTTCACGCTTCGCTTTTCGTTTTCTTTTCCTAATCGATAAACTTTACAAATGACTTAGTGTGCTCTGCATCGATTCTTCTTTCACTGAAATTAAATTTACCCCGAGACTTATTCGTAATTACGACTGCCTTAAGACAATGATGAGATCCGTCCCGGGTCATCCGGAAGGGAGAGAACGCGGATGAGGAATATAGGATAATAAGGATGAGTAAGAAGTGAAGAGAGAGAGAGAGCAGAAGTACGTGCCTGGAATGAGGCGCGTCTTCCAAGTACGAATTACTTTGACAAACTCGTCAGTGATCGCGCACTATATCCTTCGAAAGACGCTGCTTGTTAGAACCTCAGGGCTTCAGTTTCCTAGCCGAAATGGAAACCTAATGGCTCCTCATCCTGAAAGTTTCCGATCACAGGGATAAGACATTTCGTTGCTACCTAATTTATGCGAGAGTAAGAGTAGCAGCGTAAGACTTACACGACTTGAATTGCGAACATCTTTTGGGAGAATCATAATCTCGATTTAGAACCTCATAGGAATCATCATGGATTCCCTCACCTCACCTCTCCTCTCCTCTCTTCCCTCCTTCATTTTGTAGAGGGATTTCTATTTGGTTCCCTCTAAGTCTAATTCATTTAAAATTCAATCTGTTTTCCTTTTCCAAAATAGATTCTTCACAATTTCTTTGATTTCAATCGCAGTCCGACATTCTCCAAAGCAAACGGAATTTATTTATCTTACAATTCAAATTAGACGATAAGTTTATTTATTCTCGAGATGCTTACAAATTCTGTTTTTGGAAGAGGAAACAATCAATGTTGAAATTCCATTAGATAATTCCTTTGTGAGATGAAGTTTTCTTTTTTTTTCTGCTATGCTCTTAAACAAAATGGGATTCCTTTCGATGAATAATAGAAAAGAATGTTTTCATAGTCGAAGGGAATTTCAAAGGAAATGTATATATTTAAATTAAAATCGTGAATTATTTAGAGAAAAATTTAATAAATAATTTTTGTATTATTCTTTATCCATGTCAGGTAACTTTGAACTCGGGTGTAGACGTCGGGTGCTCCTTGTGCGCAGGGAACTCCAAATGATACGATGCCGATTTGTTTTCCATCTGATATTAAAGCTCCGCCTGAATCGCCCTGGAATTATTTAATTAATTATTTTTTAACAAGAATCTCATGCAGTCGATTACGTAACTCGTTCCGGATTCCATATTCTGGGAGTCGATACTGTAACTTTACCACTTCCCGTTTCCTCTCTAACTTCTCTCCTCCACTTTCCACTCTTACTTATTACTCTCCCTTTACACTTTCACTTTACACTTTAACTTCCCACTTTCACTTTCCACTCCCACTTCCACTCATACTTCTCACTCTCACTTCTTTCTTTCACTCTCACTTTACACTTCCACTCATGCTTTTCACTCTCACTTCTTTCTTTCACTCTTACTTTACACTTCCACTCATGCTTTTCACTCTCACTTCCTTCTTTTACTCTCACTTTACACTTCCACTTATACTTCTCAGTCTAACTGTACACTTCCACTCGCACTTCCTTTTTCACTCTCACTTCCCACTTCCTCTTTCTACTCTCACTTACACATTTCACTTTCATTTTTCACTTCCTCTCTTCACCCTCACTTCCTCTTTTCACTCTCACTTTCCACTCGCACTTCTTTCTTCCACTTTCCCGTCTCACACTTCTCAAAGTTGGAGGAGGGAAATTATTGTGGGAAGTGGGAGTATAAAGTATGAAGTGAGAGTATAAAGAGGATGTGGAAAGTGAGAGGGAAAAGTGAGGGTGAAAAGAGGAAGTGAGAGTAAAAAGGGGAAAATGAGAGTGAAAAGTGGAATGTGAGAGTAGAAAGTGAAAGAGGGAAGTAAGAGTAGAAGGTAAAAGTAGAAAGTAGAAAGAGGAAGTAAGAGAGGAAAGTGGAAGTGGGAAGTGAGAGTAGAAAGAAGAAGTGGAAAGTGAGGGTGAAAAGAGGAAATGGGAAGTGAGAGTGGAAAGTGAGGGTGAAAAGAGGAAGTGAGAGTAGAAAGAGGAAGTGGAAGTGAAAAGTGATAGTGAAAAGAGGAAGTGAGAGTAGAAAGAGGATGTGGAAAGTGAGAGGGAAAAGTGGAAGTTGAAAGTGAGAGTGGAAAGTGGAAAATGAGAGTGAAAAGTGGAATGTGAGAGTAGAAAGAGAAAGTGGGAAGTGAGAGTGGAAGGTAAAAGTAGAAAGTGGAAAGTGAGAGTGGAAAGAGGAAGTAAGAGAGGAAAGTGGAAGTGGGAAGTGAGAGTGAAAAGAGGAAATAGGAAGTGAGAGTGGAAAGTGAGGGTGAAAAGAGGAAGTGAGAGTGGAAACTGGAAGTGAGAGTAGAAAGGGGAAGTGGAAGTGAAAAGTGACAGTGAAAAGAAGAAGTGAGAGTAGAAAGAGGAAGTGGATAGTGAAAGTGAAAGGAGGAAATGGGAAGTGAGAGTGGAAGGTGAGAGTGAAAAGAGGAAATGAGAGTGAAAATTGTAATTGAGAGTAGAAAGGGGAAGTGGGAGTGAAAATTGGAAGTAGGAAGTGGAAGTGGAAAGTGAGAGTGGGATTTAGAATAGTTACGGAATCGACCCCCTGGATTCCGTATTTTAGCTTTAAAAATGAGAATCACTAGTCGACCACTAGAAAAGTGATTTATGAAAATTTTTATCAAAATTTCGATAGTTAATTTTCATCCCATTTTCAACGGAATGATGGAACCTCTCCACGCACTTGGAATTGAAATTCGGTCAACGATTTGATGGAATGACGATAAAAATTATTATTATTATCATTTCCTGATGGAATCTTCGAAAATATTCATCAAATCGAGTCTAATTTTTTCAAAATCCTTCAAATCTTCCTATCATCATCGGGGAGAATATCACTTTTCCCAAAATCATTCCAAGCGTGTCCCATGAATATTGCTTTTCGAAATCGAATAACATTTCAGTTGTAAAAACAATATTCAAATGGACATGTTTTCCCTCCATTTACTTTCAATAGAAATCTAGATATTAAATTACATTACAAGCTCCTTCTCCTTCCTCAGTTAAAGTACAAATGTGCGTTTTTCTCACATACGGAATTATTGATCTACATTTTGAATTTGGAAATATCTCCAACTTCAGTTCCTGTAAAGTTCTAGCAGCCGGTTCAATAAACTGTAAAGAAAAAAAAATAATTTTCGAACTTTAATAAAAATTTACACAGAAAAAAGTGAGTGTTATTTTAACACTGAATTCGGTGTTAAAAGTGTCTGCATCAAACTTTAGCTCGGAAGTGTTATTTTAACACCGAAAATAAGGTAAATTTTCTATTATAGAAAATTTATCCTCACTAAAATTACCCTACCAAAATTTACCCGCATCAAAAACAACACTCGCTTTTCTCTGTGTAATCGAATTTAGAATTTAGAAATTAGATTAATAAGAAAATTTTTCCCCTCACGCCTAATTTTCCGAAACCAATAAGTGTCGCCTCCTCATTGTATTCGAAATATTTAGATGGTAACGAAACTGGTTGAGCTAATTTTGTATAGAGAATATTTGTTGCAACTCGAATCAGTGCAATGTCATGTAAATGTTGACTTTTGTTGTAATTCTCATGTATAATGAACTTCTCGGCTTGATAAGCAGTGCCATTATCTGATTGACGATTAATTTCAGTCACAACTTTATAGACTGCAATCTCGAAACTGGAAAATTCATTTTCATTAATGAACAAAGCGTATTTTGTGTGTAATTATTAGTTATTAAAATTGATTCATGGGAAATTAGTAGCAGAGAGATGGTTTTAATTAATTAAAACTAAATTTGATTTAAGGTCGTGTAACATTCGATTCGTTAATAATAAAACGAGACAAATTCTATAAAGAGAAATTCCAATATCTATTTTTGTTAATATCAAACTCGAGGATTTGTGTAGGTGTACGAATATACCAACCTTCATCTGCTATTTATAATTATCTTTATTTTTGCCAAATGGATTATTGAATAACTGTATATTAACAATTTGGGCGCTAACTTCTTACTTACTTTTTTAAAAATAAAATTAGCAGTATAATATTAAGAAATAATATAGATTTTAAAAAATTTTAATTCAATAGTTAATTGAGAGTGTTTTTCTTACCCATCGACACAATGTGCAGCAGTGAGAACGTAACGTTCATTTATAATTGTTCCACCGCAGAGAAATCTATCCAAAAATTTGGTAATTATTTGAAATGGATATTTACCGATTGGAGCGTCTTTGCCTCCTACTACTCTTGGAATTAGTCCACCTGAAGTTAATTTTATAATTGGAAATTTACAGAGAAGAATAAAAATGTTTTAAAATAGTTTAATTAATTTTAGCAGATATTTTTAATTCCCGTCTTGATTTGATATTTCATTGACACCCACCTTGAGAACTCGTGATAAAAATAAAAAATATGGTTAATACTGTTAATTGCATGATGTTGCTTTTGTAAGTGAAAATAATCAAAGCGATTGAGTTACAATCTCGTAAAATTAATTTTTTTAGAATGGAAAATACGATTAGATTAATAATATCTTTGTGATTAGATTATTATAGGGTTTTTTATTTTATTTATTGTATGATGTAATACTGACTACAATGGCATTCACGTCATGTCATAAAATAGACAAGATAATAAAATAGGATACATCTAAGATGCTTCGTGCTTGAGAGATATTTTAACGTACCAATTACTGGGAATAAGGCTAAAATTTTCAAATTTGAAACAAAATTTTATGTGTGTGGCATAGCCAAACTTCATTGGCAATTATTATTAGAATTCTGATGGTATCTTCAGGGGGACTTTAGTTTTGCTAAATAGAGGAATTGACGAATTACTTCGTCAAGCATTTTTTTCCACCTAAAGCATTTCGAATTCCTCGCAACGAAACAAGAAATTCAACAAATAGGGGAGAAACTAGAGAAGTTGCTTAACATGCAACCTAAGAACTCCACCCTCCTCGTGTATGGTAACGAAATACATTTCCATTCGTTGAAGAATAATCCCGCAATGGGACATAATCCAGAAGTGCAAATCCTTAATTTTCCCCAAGAAAATTTTTTCTACACATATTCTAAAATCTCTTTTCAATTATTCAAAAAATAATTAATTTCCATTCCCCTCTATTCGGGAAGAAAGTAATTTTCAAAGCCCACACTGAATAATGAAGCCGGGAAGTAGCATTTGCAATAATTCCGTTAACCTCGGTCCAACAGACTGCTGACTGTAGCCTTAGAAAAAGTGTGAATTAACACGTTTCTTCGAGACGTGCCTCGCGATCCATGCAAATGTCTAAGTAAGCGTAGCTCCGTCAACCGGAAGAGCCCGAAACCTCTGTGGAAAGAGATGGAAATCCCTTTCGCTCAAGACAAAGTTGCCGAGTGGCCCGTGGAAATTCTCATGCATATCTTTAAAAAGAGGGGTTTTTGGTGGAAGATGAGATATACCAGAAAAAAAAGGTGAGAGAATTGAAGAATAGAAGTTAAGAGACGTAGAATAAAGTCAAATTTAAAGAATACGTTGAAAGAGAGAATATGCTGAGGGGGAAAAAGGCGAATCTTTTCTAACACTCTAGGCAAATAAATAGTCAAGTTTAAAAAGGTGAATGCCGTCGCGTCAAAAATCGATCAACTAAAAAGCTCGTTGAGCTACTCTGCAAAAGGACTGAGGGGGATCGAGGAAGAATGGAGTATAGGGGAATGGGGGGAAATACTCGAGTACAGTCTACTTCGTTGACGAGAGTGAGAAACTGCAAAATGTGCAGGTCGCTCGATTCAGTCCCCAATGATGTCAGCACTAGTTCGTTCGCGATGGCGGTTTGCAAACTTAAAGGTAATGGGACACAATAAAATCCCCAAAATAAGAAAAATCGTGCATTGAACAGATTCAGTTCACTGGCATCTTTTTCCCAACTGAATGAAGATTTGATTTTGCCAGATTGGAAAATTTAATAACATTTCACCCTCATTGAAGATTCAGAATTTAGTATAGATTCGACTGAATCTAATTTCCAGAGATGAAACTTAGAAAGTCGAATGTCTCCCAAGAAACAAAAGTTTTGACTGTTTGGGGAAGAAAATTGTGTCAAACAAAATGAATTGAAAGTGTGAGGGAAATGCATTTCTTCCTTGAACCGCAAAATGGTCATTCGGTATAAGCGCGTTGAAGTTGTAGGGAAAGCGGAAGAAGGCTGGTGTGTGACACTAAAGGTAAAAGCCATAACGTCCTAACAGCGATAAAGCCGAGGTCGCTGTGCCAGCGAGATGAAATGAGCTGGCAATAAAACCCGGAATGTGCTACGATGCATATAACTTCCCATTTGTTTCAATTTGCACTGCGACCCCATAACGGACGCAAAGCTGGCCCCTCTCCCCCTTAATTTCATACCCCTTACTCATCCTCCTTCAACATTTTTTCCATTTCCCTTATCTCTGCATCTTACACTTTATAATTCACATTTGATTACGTTTAATGTTCTCGGCTTTTTGGAGAATGTAGCCGTTAGGCGAATTAACATTTTCGCTTAAAAACTTAAGCCATTCAGATTTTCCTTTTATTCAATTCGCCTCTTTTTTTTAATAATTAAATATTTCGGGGTCGGCGTTCATAAAGTAAATTTTTATATTTAGATTCGATGACGTCAATAGAGTAGACGGAGGGTTTTTTTTCTCTCAATTTTTGACGTCACTAAAAGGATATTCATATTTAATACCTTACGATTGCGAAAATAAACCATTTACTACGTTATTTTATTTAGTCTTCTGGGGGTCAATTACGTGACTCTTTCTGGATCCCACATTCATCATTTGGGATTCCAGTTTTCGTAGTTTGAACTTCAGATTCCGAATTCTATATTCGGTTTATCATAATTCACATTATGAGCGTGAGCGTGGGAAGTGAGAGTGAAAGTGTAAAGTAAGAGTGGAAGTTGAGAGTGGAAAGTGAGAGTGGATAGTGGAAGTGGGAAGTTAGAGTGGAAAGTGAAAGTGTAATGTGAGAATGAGAAGTAAGAGTGGAAGCGGAAATTGAGAGTGGAAAATGGAAGTGTGAGGTGAGAGTGAGGAGTAAGAGTGGAAGTGAGAGTGGAAGTGAGAGTGGAAGTGGAAATTAAGAGTGTAAAGTGAGAGTGAAAAGTGAGAGTGAGACGTAAGAGTGAAATTGTAAAGTGAGAGTGAGAAGTAAGAGTGGAAGTGTGAAGTGAGAGTAAAAAGTGGAAGTGGAAAGTAAGAGTGTAAAGTAAGAATTGAAGAGAAAATTAAGAGTGTAAAGTGAGAGTGGAAGTTAGAGTAGACAGTGGAAGTGTAAAGTTAGAGTGGAAGTGGGAAGTGCAAGTGTAATGTAAGATTGAGAAGTAAGAGTGGAAGTGGAAATTGAGAGTGTAAAATGGAAATGTAAGATGAGAGTAAGAAGAAAGAGTGGAAGTGAGAGTAGAAAGTAGAAGTGTAAGGTGAGTGTAGAAAGTGGAAGTGGGAGTGGAAAGTGAGAGGGGAAAGTGGAAGTGAAAATGAGAGTGGAATTGGGAAGTTAGAGTGGAACGTGGAAGTGTAAAGTGAGAGTAAGAAGTTAGAGTGGAAGTGGGAAGTGAAAGTGTAATGTGAGAATAAAAAGTAAGAGTGGAATTGGGAAGTGAGAGTTAAAAGTGGAAGTGTAAAGTGAGAGTGAGAAGTAAGGGCGTAAGAGGAAATTAAGAGTGTAAAGTGAGAGTGGGAGTTGGAAGTTAGAGTGGAAAGTAGAAGTGTAAGAGTGAGAAGTAAGAGCTAAAGAGGAAATTGAGAGTGTAATGTGAGAATGGAAAGTGGAAGTGAGAGTAGAAAGTGGAAGTGAAAGTGAGAGTGGAAGTGTAAAGTGAGAGTAAGAAGTTAGAGTGGAAATGGGAAGTGAAAGTGTAATGTGAGAATGAAAAGTAAGAGTGGAAGTGGGAAGTGCAAGTGTAATGTGAGATTCAGAAGTAAGAGTGGAAGTGGAAGTTAAGAGTGGCAAATGGAAGTGTAAGGTGAGAGTGAGAAGTAAGAGTGGAAGTGAGAGTAGAAAGTAGAAGTGTAAGGTGAGGGAAGATAGTGGAAGTAGGAGTGGAAAGTGAGAGTTGAAGTGGAAATTGAGAGTGTAAAGTGAGAGTGGAAGTGGGAGGTTAGAGTGGAAAGTGGAAGTGAGAAGTAAGAGTGTAAGTGGAAATTGAGAGTGAAAAATGGAAGTGTAAGGTGAGAGTGAGAAGTAAGAGTAGAAGTGAGAGTAGTAAGTGGAAGTGGAAAATGAGAATGGGAAGTGGAAGTGTAAAGTGAGAGTAAGGAGATAGAGTGTAAGTGGGTATTACAACGTAACCAAAAAGAAAAATTCCCGATTGTACTTATGCAGTAACAAAAAAAAGTTTTCTATTAAAAAAAAACAAAAAGCAACTTTTTCCGTACAAAATATAAACTTTGTAGAGCATCCACTAACCGCAAAAACACGTTTAGTTGCACAAATGAAATTAATATTCAGCGTAACATTCATAAAGAAAATTGTAGTTTACACAAAAAATTTTCGTAAAACAGTGATGAAGACAATTTTACCGTGTGGTGTGGTACGCCTTGAAGCTGCGTACGCGAGACATGCTACGAATACGAAAGGGAGTATATTCTATATACATTGAGAAAGAGAGAGAGAGAGAGAGAGAGAAAACGAAACGAGTTGTTTCACAAATTGCGCTTCGTTAGAGTAATCGGAAAAGATAACGACATAGACAATACTTTTTCATTGACAAAGCGAAAATGTATATTCACGTTGAGTTAAAATATAGAAACACATATATATATACATGTAGAAAACTGTATATGAAAATCGAGAATTCCCGTTATCGGCAATTTAGTCTATATTTTATGCAACCCAATGGATTTATTTGTCCTGTTGCTTTTCAGAAACAGCACATGTTTTCCGACAAGGCCACAACGAATTCCCCAGCGATTAGCACTAATGTGTTATATTTATCATTAAAATTACAACCACAGAAAGTCCATTTCCCTTAATTTTATAGTTAAACTACATTTCATGGAATGTGTATTATATTTTCTCCTAAAATCAAACCTAATGAGGTTAAAAAGTATGAACTGTTTTTCTACATTAATTTTCTTTGCGAATTTTAATTTAATGTAGATTTAAATTCTTTAAATTTAATTAAAGGAACATGACCTTTTAATACTAAATCTCTGTATTACAGATTAAACTGATTTTTCCTTACTGAACACCTTTATGTAACAATTCCCACTACTAAATTTCTTAAGAGTGAAAAATTTGTGAATGAAAATGTTGGAAAGGGACCTGGCGTCATCTTAGAAGTTTAAGAAGAGTGGCACCTTTCTAATCTGCTGATAATCGACACAAGTCATACTTGATGGAGGATAGAATTCTAAAAATAATTTTTTGGGGTGCTTCAACTTTTTGTAATATATCCCACAGAGGGTGGGGTACAATTAGTTTCGACCTAAATGCCAACTTCCACAACAGGAAACCCCGTGTTAGGCCGCTTCTAG